CAGCTATCTGCTATTCCCGAAAGGCCATCTCACAACTATCCACTTAGGAACGCGAAGCAGTATCTTTACCTGCCAACACCGAGCTCAGAACTAATTAAAGGCCAATACTGTAAAATGCCAAAAAAATGTACAATCATCTGCCTTTTAATATCAAGTCGCTTTCATTCTTTCCCGAATTTCGCAAAGCTCTAAAATCATGCTTACTGGAGAGATCCCTATATGCGGTAAATGACTTTTTTGTTGATGTTTAATCATGAACTAGTTTGAATTTTAAAATTTTGATTATCTCACACACTGGTTAAAAGTCTAGTATATAATATTTTATAACTCTTAAATTATTATATCCATTTACAATTTTTCTATTGTAAGATTTTATTGATAGTTGCCCTTTTTTGTGTTCTGCAATGACTATGTATGTGTAATGTATCTATGTGTAATTTTGAAACGTATGATTTGTATTGTATGATATTTTTATTATTTGTATATTTTTTGTGCTTTTGTTTGTATTGTAAATGCTTTGTCGTTGAAGCTTTTTGTACAATAAAGAGGTATTTTATTATTATTATTATAAGCATTACTAAAAATTGTTTATCGTTTCGATTTAAGCCATATATAGTACAATTCTTTTAAAAGTTCCTCAATATGGCCGACCTAGTTACGAAAATTGGTATTTTTTTTTTAATGAAAAATAAGTTGGCGTTAGCGAATTCAGAAATTGATTTACTCTTTGGTTAACAATAACATTTTTCAGGATTGTCAAGTTGACGTTAAAGTTAGGTTATTAGGTGGTTGTCATAAATCATAAATAAAAACATAGATTATTGAAATTCTTTAATAAGAATAAAGGTATTTTACCGCAGACCCGAAGAGATTTTACTTAAAGGTATTTTATAAACTTTCTCAGTCAGAATATTAACCCCCCTGTTTCTTATATTTTAGTTAAACGGACGTAAGAACTATAGGAAGTGAATTTTTGTTTTCATGTTTTGACGATATCTGAGAGTTCCTAGAATTATCAAGATTATTGAATAAAAATAGTTGTTTAATAAGTGAAATTAATAGAAGACTTGGAAATAGGATGATGCGTTTCATGTTATAGTTGATAGATCACCCCATTTCTCTTAATTTGTTTTTATTTCAGTACAGTTAATCACAAATTGAATTGATGTGTGCAAAAACAGCTATATATTGTCAAACATCTTATTTAAATAGTTCTTTTATATACTGTTAAACTGTATCAACTACAAAGTCTTTAGCAAAAAGTTATACGGTAATAAATTTTGTAGATATAATTTATGAAAATTTATATATAAAGATTAGAACACAATCCTCTGAGGGAAAAATAAATACTCAAGAACTCATTAAATATACTTTATTAAAAATAACAACATACAAAAACAGTCATCCATGTAAACTGTAATAATCAGAACATTATCCACATTATACCTTTGTTAAATTTGTGTTCACACTCCTGTCAGGAAAGCCAGAAATGTTTGTTTAAATATTAACTTATTTTAAATTGCCAGAAACACCTCAGAATATGTCACAACCACAACTATAGGTCTGAAATCAGTACTAAATTTTATACCTAGTGGTGCGTCAACTAACAAGTATAGGATAAAAAAGAATTATTAATATAGAATATACTATACGATGTCCTTCTGCTTATTTATGAAATGACTTTCCTTTCAAATATGAGGAATACCAGTAAAATAAAACATAATTTTTGGTTTGGTTTGGTGTTTGATATTCTAACTACATCTATTACAAACCTTAAGTGCTTTTAGTGAGTAACTGTCTTTTTTATTATTGTTTGTGTATCCTGTAAAGTAAAAAAATATATATTTCAAGAAATATAAAAACAATGCAATAGATATCAAACAGATTCATAAAAACTACTTACAATTGTACATATATATTTCAAGTGTTATTTGATCTTTGGTCCCATTACCAACATTACCTTATTTAGGTCTCTACTAACTTAACTTTTAAACCTGTTTTAAACCTTCTTTATATTTTAAAACTAATTTACAACAATCTGTGATGCCCGCGCTGTTTTCTGAAATTAATATAAGTTTTAATCTATTTATTATCATATACATATTACAAACCTGAAAATTACTGATACGAGGAAACTTCATAATAATTAGAGACCTTTTTACAAACATCTGGACTAATTTATTTTCACGAATTTGTGGACGAGTCAATGTTTTCTAATACGTTTTTAAGCGTTTTACACATTTTTTAATAGCTTCCAGCCTATTCCTCAGTTCTTGATCGGTGAAAAGATTATTTATAAGTATATAATTAGTACTGCAGGCTGCAGGTTAAATAATAGCAGAATTTGTGAATAAAAACACAAAAAATAATGAAAATATTTAGAAAAAGGAACCGTAAACGTCAATGTCAGCCAAGTGTCAGAGTTCAATTGGATTTACCACAGATTCAATTTGAACGATTTGAACTACAGTCGATTCCAGTCTAGAGATTTTCGTTTTTTAAACCTCCCATACTGAAGTCCGCCATATTGGGAAGTTTTAAATGAATACAAGTACCTATCTGGCTCAGATTTTAAATAAAAAGCGATTTTTCAATAAAACTGTAATCAATATGGCTGATGTCACAATGATGGTAATTTTTTAGTGACGTACCGACCTTTGTAGCTATTTTCAAAATCGACATTAGTTTACGGACTTTATTTAAATTTATAACTATAACTAATATTTATTTTTATTCAGTTTACCTACAATAAGGTTAATAAGTTATTTATTATTTTATCAAGAAAAATGAAGCAGTATATGCTTCAGGCTTGTTGGCCTGAAGGGTTTATGCTCATAGATATCCAAATAGGAATTTTTTTGACAAGCGTTTCTTTGAAAAACTACCTTTCCTATTTCGCAGAGCTGATAGTGTGGTATATGAAAAACCTATTAGACAGAAACCTGTTGTTGGAAGTGAAGAAAATGAATTTGCCTTAATTGGTTCTTTTATAGAAAATCCAATATATCTACAAGTCATCATAATATAAATCAAAAAGAACTACTTCTTCATATTTCTTGATAAAATAATAAATAAAATAAAATAAATTGTTATTAATTTAAATAAAGTCCATAAACTAATGTCGATTTTGAAAATAGCTATTAACTGTCACTAGCAAATTGCCATGGCGACACTAGCCATCTTGATCGCCATTTAATTGAAAAATCGTTTTTTATTCAAAATCTGAGCCAGATAGGTATAGGAAACCCTAATATAGTTTGAAAGAGCATTTAAATCTGCTTCGACTTATTATAAAAAATATATAGTCTTGTATTTGAAATAACGAAGTTTTTATGTAAAAAAAATATTTCAAATAGACCATCAATTTTTGACACACCTGTATACATTTTATACATTTAATGAAGCAATACAATTTTTTAGTAAATTTTATTTCTCTGGCTCAAGGTCAGCACAAGAATTAACTCTAAAAAATATAGTACAGGGTGTTGACAAACTTTTTTATTATAAAATGCATATTTATATAAATATCTTCAAATATCTATATCTACAATACGGATATAGTACCGTATGATCGAAAAAAAACGGCGTCCAGTTGGCTTGGAAATGACGATCGATGACATTTCCCATATAATTTACATATAAAATGACAGCGATCTTCATTTCATAGCCATCGCTGACGCCGTTTTTATTCGATCATACGGTATAATCCGTTATCTTTAATTTCCTTCTTCATTTGAGGTAAAAATACCTAGCCAGTTTTACATAAAACATTACATGCCGAACTTTGCTACCTTTTTGGACCAATGAAATGGACTCTTAATTTTTGTATTCAAAAGATTCCCACCCATTATAAATTAGGATTAAATCTAAGAAAACGTTAATTAAATAAAATATCCTAATTGTGTCCAAAAACCCGAAGAGCTACTATACTCTGCCGTCAAATAAAAGCTAAGACGAGAAAAAAATAACAATCGCCCACAGAGCTAATTTTTCTTGTGTTTTTTTTAATTAAATCGGATTTTTCCTAATTAGCGCCGTCTTTGTGTACTAAGTCGGAGTTTAAACTAATTAAAACAAACGAGAATAAGGAAAAGGAAATAATTCAGCGTTAAGGGTGTTGTAGAACAGTTATTCCGGAATAGTTTCTTCTTAAATGAATGTCTTTGAATAATTCACACAATCATCGTTTTATTTTTGTTGTCTATCTTTTAATTCTAACCTAAATTGTGGATTGTATGGAAGGGGTGAGTTTAATCACCGGCATCACCGCGATCTTATTGTGTCCCACTTTCTTGAGTTATAACTCAACTATCATACAGTCCCTGGGCTTTGACAAAAACCAGCATCTGAGACGGTTTTACAGAGGTTAGTTCTCCATCTCCGATATCTGAGGTACTAAAGTTTACCCAAGTAGCATTTTTAGACATAAAATCGAAACAAAATCTCTGCTGCTGAGAAATATTCGATACATACGTTTTGTAACATAAATCGCTTTTTGTTTCGAAACATTTTACTATGGAGTGTAGAGGTAAGGAGAAATAACTCTTACGGGACTTTTATTGAAAAAGTGGTCACAAAATGGGAAGAATAAGGGTTCGCCAAATAACCACAGTGGCGCTAAAAACGCATGATTCTAAAAAATGATAAGTAACCATAGATAAGAGAATAAAAATAAATATAACCAAACATTACCCAAAAAAATTTTGTTTTTATTTTTCAGACAGAGTTTTTGAATATAAAATAATTATTGTTCATCAATATTTTGTGCTTTATTTATTATTTAACAATGGTTAAAGTGTGTGTGGTACGAAGTTGATTGAATAGCTGATGGAAAAATAAAGACCAAAGGCAAAGCCTACGGTATGTAAAATACATAATATAATTCAGTATTGTATTATTTGTATTATATGTAAAAATTAGAGTCAATCAAAAGTGTAGTAAACATTTTTCGTAAGATTATTGACATACATGTTACAAAGTATATTTTACAATCCTTTTATAAAGTTACAACCTAAATAAAATTTATTTTTAATGATTTTAAAGTTTGACAGACATGCACAAATTGTTGGCATTTTGTTAAACAAGTAAAAGTAGGAAGTACATAAAATTGTAGGTACTTTCAAGAAATATAGTTAACTGTAAGTGCTGTATTTTAATAATCTATCAAAAATCAAAATCATCAGGATAATATTAGGTATTGATTTTCAGACAAGAATTAGATTACAGTGATGGTCAAAAGCATTTAGATATTGCTTTGAAATCTACAGATAAGATATGGCAGTTTCATTTTAAAGAACAAGATGTTAAAGTTTGTGATAAAATTGTCATCAGAAATACTGTCCACTTCAGTATTTATATAGGAAAATATTGGAGGATGAAGCTCTACCTACTGCCTCAGGTTAATTTAAATTCTGAATTGCAACAACAGCAACAAGCAAGAAGGGCACCATTAAATGAATATTATACACATCGTATGATCAAATAAAAACGGCGTCCAGTTGGCTTGGAAATGAAAATCGATGGTATTTGCTATATAAATTTACATATAAAATGACAGCGATCTTCATTTCATAGCCATCGCTGACGCCGTTTTTATTCGATCATACGGTATTATTATACACAGAAAGAGTAATGTTATACACATAAATATTAACATTTTGTAGAGCAACAACACAATAAAAAAACAAAATATGAACACCAGCAACTAAAACAGGAACCATTAAATGAATATTATACACGTAAGTACAATTTGATCGAATAAAAATCGGCGTCAGCGATGCCTATGAAATGAAGATTGCTGTCATTTTATATGTAAAATGATATGGAGAATGTCATCGAGATGTTCATTTCCAAGCCAACTGGACGCCGTGTTTTTTCGATCATACAGTATTATTATACACATAAATAATAATATTATACACATAAACATCCCTTGATAAAGATCAACATTTTGTAGAGCAAAACAGCATCAAATAATGGAAATAATGGACCCTACTGCTCAAATCAAAAACAAAATTTCAGCATTACCACTTTATTGGTTATATCAATAAAAGAAATTATTGAGTTTATGAGTCTAGATCCTACAAGCAAGCAGATCTATCACATAATTTAAAATGAAGATTTATCTATTATAGTATGTATAAACACTTTGCATCTTTTATTCAATGTTGTAATGAATTAACAAATTGCAGGTAATTTATTCTAATAACGAAAAAGAAACTTTGGATCAAAAAATATTTTCTTCTGATGAGGTTTATGAATATTAATTTGGCCATTATGTGTTGGTATACAATTTATTTATGATGTTACAGTGTTAAACCATCCGAGTACAAAACATGTTTAAAACCCACTATTCATAATGAATGGCAACTACCAACTTGAGAGGAAGCTAAGAGAAAGGTTCTATTGGGTGGACTGCAAGGAAAAGGGACATATACATGAGGATCTGGAAGGGCATTACGTCTCAAGCCATGGAACAATAGGAAACGAAATTCAAAGGAAAATATTACAATACGTGGGATGCAAATTATAGTGCAAAGAATTGAGAAAAAGAATTATTAAAAGTAGTTATAGTTATGATAGTTAAACCATCCGACTACCAAATATATTTAAAATCCACTATTCTGAATGAATAGCAACTACCAACTTGGGAGGAAGCTGCGAGAACGATTCTATTGGGTGAACTACAAGGAAGACATGAGCATCTGGAAGGGCTATAAAATTATATTATTATTTCACGTCCCAAGCCATGTTGGAATAGCTGGGAGTAAAAAAGAAGATAATACTGCACACGATTCTTGTCTAGAAGTAGTTGATATTAAGGCAGTTAAGCCATCTGACTATCGAACATTTAAAATCCACTATTCTGAATGAATGGCAACTACGATGGGGCAAAACGTAAATAAATACTTGTACAGTATAAAATTATATTATATTGGCTTAATTTTTATACTAAATAAAATGTGTTACGTTATTTTTGACCTGCATTATATTTATTTAAATCCCATATCATCAATTAAACTTTTAATAAAGTTTTCCTAATTATAATTAACATTAATTTTAAACTAAAGCTTTTTCATCTTGAATGAGATTTACGAAATAACTTATGAGAAACAATAAAAAGAGGCTCTGATATCTGAATAATCGATAATAAAACCACATATTGACTTACTTTTATACTAAATCAATGTGAATCAATGTAGGTATGAAGTTATTTTAAAGCTGCATTATATTTATTTTAAACCTATCACCAATTATTATTTAAATAAAATTTGTCTTAATTATAATTACCATTAATTTTAAGCTAAAACGATAAGAATATTTTTTCGTCGTCTTGAATGACATTTGCGAAATAACTTATGAAAAACAATAAAAAAGGGCCTAGTCTATTGCTGCTGAATAAAAATCTGTAATTTATTTCATGCAACATGAAAATAAAATTGTATTTTTTTTAAACCCGCGGCTTCGCGTTTGCTTCACGTCAAATATTTATGTCTTGAATCATCTGTTCTAAAATGTTCGGCGCATGTCTTAAATTTTAGAATCTTGCTACAGCAGCGCCATCCTAATTCTTCCCTTTTTTTGACCATTTTTTAATGCACGGAGTTATTTCTCCTTACCTCTACACTCCATACATTTTACCAATATATGGTTTTGCTGCATAAGCTATAACAATAAAAATCTAAGTGTCACAAATTTTTCGAAACTTTTAAGAAACATATGTGGCTGACATTTACAGATTTCGTACCAGTTCTGTGCCTGAATAAAAATCTGTTAGTTTCCATAATTTATTTCAAATTCTATCAAATATGAGAACATATATAAATAAATAAAATAATCTGTCAAATATGAGAATATATAAATATATAAAATATGAGTAATTATAGAAGGTTTGTGGAAACAAGACAATGATGAGCGGTTAACATCTATGCTTCCACTAAATAGAATCGGAAGGAAAAGTGGTCTCTGGCCAGGATGTCAGAAATGAATTTGCTAGCAACTTTTTAACAGAAACAGGGCGGTTGCCTTGGCAGGACAACTACTTTTAAAACTACTTTGGAAATCTTATTTAGCCGTATTCAACATCCCCTTTTAAATTTAAAATCCCTTTTAAGGTTTATTTACAGTAGAATTTTCATTAAAAAAAATCTTAAAATCGCTTTTAGAGGTAATAGGGGATGTTGAATGGCGGCTGATTATGTAATAAAATAATAATTAAATAAAATTATTATGTAATAAAATTAAATAAAATTATAATTTTGATTTTGCTCATCTTTTAATCTAGAAACTTACCCCAATTTCCGTATCCTGAGTGGGACGGGGCCTATTTTTGTCTTTTAAGAACATTTTGCAGTGTACACCATCCGTGCCCATGCCCGAACGTGTTGAATCTTTGGCCTTTTTGTACTCTCTAAAAAATTGTCCGGTGATATTTTTTATTTTTCTCTCAACTTCCACCCCCTTCACTTCTAAACTAGTTGCAATATCATTCCAGGCATCATACTTTCTATTTCTGTTCTTATATCAAGTATGCTTAGTGTCCCAAAGTTCGGGGTGGGCTTGATATTTTTCAATCAGATTTCTTGTTTTATCATTGCTCCACTCCATACCAAATTTATTTTTAGCAACAGAATCAAAAACAAACTTCTGGCCTTGTGAACTACACGAGTACAAATGGCAAAATGTACCCGATAAAGTTACTGATAGGAGTTGATTCGGTGGAGACGTCTTTCGACATGTTTGTAAACATTGTCGTCGACATGATTTTTTTATGTCCGCTCCTCAAACGAAACATGATAAATATAAATAAATAAATAAATAAATAAATAAATGCCTTTATTGTCAAAAAATTTTTCAATTTGTAGACAAAGGTAAACTAACAAACAAAGTAAAAAAAACAAAAAAACAAGGTACACAAACAAACAAACAAAAGATAATACAAAACATTATACAAATAATATTGTCAGTCTTATTGTTAAAATAAACATTTATAAATGTTTACAATGTCAAAGAACAAAAAAAAATTAAAATAATATTCAAAAATATTTAGCCAGTTTATAGCAAAATATCAATGACCTCTAAATAAATTAATTTCGATGTCATTAGTAAATATAGCAATAGCAAACATTAGACCAGTGTTTTCAAGATCAAATTCGATTTTCAATTCAAATATAATTCATTTACGGCGTAGAAAGCCTTGTCTAGTAAATAAGAGTTCAATGCTTTGCGAAATGAAAAAAATGATGTTATGGATTTGATTTCAAATGGCAGGTGATTGTGCATTTTTTTCGAGTTGTATAATATTGAACTTTTAACTAACTCTGAGCGTGGGGTAGGTAGATAAAGATCTTGCTCCGCGTTCCTGAGTGGATAAGTGTGAGATGGCCTTTCTTGAGAAGCTGATACATGTTTACGTATTAGGCAAACGGATTCAAATATAAATAAGGAAGGAAGAGTCAATATTTTTAATTCTCTAAAAAAGCCCCGGCAATGAGTTCTGCTGTTTAGTCCCAGTGAATATCGAACAGCTCTCTTCTGGAGCTTGAAAATGCGGTCAAATTGAGCCGCACAACACGTACCCCAGAATGGAAGGGCATACCTGAGGTGCGACTCAAAAAGTGCATAATAAACAGTTCTAGCCACTGACAAGTTAAGCTCCTTAGAAACAGACCTTAATGCAAAACAGGCAGAGCTCAATTTTTTCGACAAAGCTTCGATATGTATGTCCCATTTCAGAGAATTGTCCACAACAAGCCCTAAGAATTTTACGGATTTTACGACGTCAATGGTGGTGTTGTCAAGTACAAAAGGCTGCAACGAGTTTTTATACGACAAAGCCTTAGTTTTAGAAATGTTGAGACTCAGGAGGTTCGAATCGCACCAAGATTTAATGGTGATTAAGTCATTTGATATAATCCTATGAAGTGCCGCGATGTCCTTGTTGCTCCAAGTGAAGCTAGTGTCGTCCGCAAAAAGACATATTTTGCCACTGATGTTTATGTTAGCAATGTCGTTAATAAAAAGAAGAAACAAAATAGGGCCTAGTACTGAGCCTTGTGGTACTCCACATTCTATTGGCTTGCTAGAAGACAACGTGGTATCCACCCTCACAAGTTGATTCTGTTGCTCAGATATGACTTAAACCATTCGAGAGATGATCCCTGAACCCATAGTGCTGCAGTTTATTAATTAGGATCTTATGATTTACACAATCGAACGCCTTAGAAAAATCACAGAAAATTGTTGCTGTAGAATGATGGTTGTTTAGGCTGGAGTAAACTTTATTAAGGAGGGAAAACATAGCGTCATTTGTGGACTTGTTGCTCAGAAATCCAAATTGATATTCAGTAAGTATTTTGTACTTAAACAGAAAAGATACCAGCCTACTTTTAACCAACCTTTCTATGATCTTAGATAGCGTTGGAAGGAGTGCAATTGGGCGATAGTTAAAAGCTTCATCTTTGTCTCCTC